ACCAGTGCCAGAGAGAGAGTAGACTTTCCCGCCAGTTACAGCCTTGGCAACCCACAGGAGCACTCCTATCCTACCTTATAAGGTCACTATAAATTGGAACCAACTCAAAATTGAAGTTGAGTTTCTTGGACAGTGAATTTTGAGTATCAACTTGGTGATCATTGAAGAATATTTAATTAATGAATTAAATATTCAATTTTCTCTTTTAGATTTTTCTTTTAAGTAGTATTCTAGGGGATATCTTTACTCTAGATTAGTGGTTCTCAACCTGTGGGTTGCAACCCCTTGGGTATCGAACAACCCTTTCACATGATTTGCCTGATTCATAACCGTAGCAAAATTACAGTTATGAAGTAGCAACAAAAATAATTAAAAAAAAATAATTTTATTGGGGGCTCGTACAACTCTTATCACAATCCATACATACATCCATTCTGTCAAGCACATTTATATATTTGTTGCCATCATCATTCTCAAAACATTTGCTTTCTACTTGAGCCTCTGGTATCAGCTCATTTTTCCCCTCCCTTCCTGCTACCCCCTCCCTCATGAACCCTTGATAATATATAAATTATTATTATTTTGTCATATCTTACATGTCCAATGACTACCTTATCCCACTTTTCTGTTGTCCATCCCCCAGGGAGGAGGTTAAATGTAAATCCTTGTAGTTGGTTCCCCCTTTCCACCCCATCCTCCCTCCACCCTCCCAGTATTGCCAATCTCACCACTGATCCTGAAGGGATCATCTGTTCTGAATTCCCTGTGTTTCCAGTTCTTATCTGTACCAGTGTACATCCTCTGGTCTAGCCGGACTTGTCAGGTAGAATTGGGATCATGATAGTGGGGGGCGGGCAATTAAGAACTAGAGGAAAGTTGTATGTTTCATCACTGCTACAGTGCACCCTGACTGACTCATCTCCTCCCCCGAGACCCTTCAGAAAGAGGATGTCCAGAGCAACAAAAATAATTTTATAGTTGGGGTCACTACAACATGAGGAACTGTATTAAAGAGTTGCGGCATTAGGGAGGTTGAGAACCACAGCTCTTGATGGACTAAGTATAGTAATCAAGTGGAAATTGTATAGATCTAACCAGAGTGTGGAAGGATGCAAACTTGCACAGACCAACAGATGGGAAAGTGTAAAGTTGAGTTGCTTTATTTGTTTTTTAATTACTCTGGATATAGTATTGGCTTGGCAGTGTTCACTTCGAGACAAAGGGAGGTAGGAAAACAACGCTGGGTAGGGAGATACTTAAATTGGGAAGTGGTTTGTTGGCTGCAGAGAGGTCAGTAAATTAACACCAGGTTGGTATTGTCACATATTTTGCTGGTCGGAGCACAACAGAGCAGCTTGTAAGAACAGATGAGCTAGGGCACAAATAAAGCAATGAACATAAATCAGAGAAAGTTAATTTAGCATTGGACATCTAAATGGCAGCTAGCGATGCTGATCATTGCCGCTTTGCCACACTCAGAGGAAACTAAAAAAAAAGCTGATGATAATTATGAACCTGAAAAAAATAATAAATTGTACTTTTTGTGTGCATATTGAGGTCGTTTTGTCCAGGAAACATTTAGGTGCTCACCGTGATCGGTGAAAGACGCCTTGTAGAGACGTAGCTGGGACGTTTCCTAGACACTAAATTATTCCTAATTACTAAGTTTCTGTCTAAAATAGAGGCACATTTATAACACACTCTATTTTATTTCCAGTAGCATGTTTCAAATGTGTATATGCCTGATGCTTCAATATTTAGTTTGGTTTTATTCAAATCAGAGGTTTAAGTATATAATCCATTAATTTGAAAATAAACATTTCAAAATATGAGAGGGCTTTTCAATGTAGCAGTACTTTCACCCTAGATAAATCCCACTGGCCAATTTTAATTTAACTTGTCAGTGTCATATATTATCTTATTACTTTTGATTACTACTTTTGCATGAATGTTTTAAAATGTATCAACATTTTTACATTTTGCCAAGAAAACATATTAAAAATGATAGAAATATTATATTAATTCATAGTTCGGGGCATAGAAAGAACTGAGGTGCATAAAATCTAAATTAACCAATTCACATATAATCAAACCTAATAAAAGTCCACTCTGAGGGTAGGAACTAAAAATACACTGGGGCGAAATAGCTTAGGTCATCAAGTGGTTCGGGCTCCTGTTCACATATTGAGATTTTTAGTTGGAATTCAAAACAGAGGTAGATTTCATCTTGAGAGAAACACTCTAAAAAATGTTATTAAATCAGTATACTACGAATGTTCTGACTTGATCTTATTCTTATGTTTATGTTTGGGCGTTTCTACCTGAAAATAATAGGCACTGTTTGAATTCCTTTTGTATAGTTGTTCATTCCAACCTGGCTCTCTTCTGCTTTGTCCTTATTTTACTCAAATATATCAATTTAGTGAATATAAATTTAAGTTGGAGTTAGAAGAGTAAAAACAGGCTTAAAATGTAGGTGTGCCAGCAATATGAACAAACACATTTGCACTTTACTGCAATCAGTCATAATGTCGAACATGGAATAAAATATCCCTCCTAATTGGAACATAACAGAGGGAAAGAATAATAAAATGTATGTGAATTAAATACCATCACGTTAGGTTTAAAGAATCACATAAAAGAAATAATACTAGAAGGGGTAGGGATTTCTCCCTGTTTATCCATACGTTGCCACGCAACATTTCTACTTACATCCCATTGAACATAACTTATATCTATGCATCGCTGCAGGAGAGAATCAGAAAACAGCCGTAATTCCAGAAATCACCCGCCCACATCGATGAAATGTGAGGGAGAAAAATCAAAATACTGAGAATTGATTCCCAGCCTCATCTCAGGCATAATTATTATTTTGGGATATTAAATTGCATGCTTTCATTTTTTAAAAAAAATTTGGAGGGGGGCATGACTAAAAAGGTAGGTCCCCTTTCTTTGCAACGATCAGTTGGTGACACAAAGCTTTGGGCTTTCTGTGACCTTGTTGAGAGACATCTGAGCAAGGCCCGTATTCATTTTTTACCTTTGTAATTTTGTAGATGACCTTTACAAATTTACTGCCCCCTAAACTTTCTTCACATTCTGTTATAAATACATTCTCACAGAAAAATAGTTTTTTACAGTACATATTAGACTTTATAATAATAGGTCACTCAGAGAAGAGAGAGACCATGGTAGTTGTTTTCTGATTGTTTTTGCTGTCTATTACATTCTCTGTTAAACCTTTAGTAAAAATCTCTAAGTATTTTCTATAATTTTGTGTTCCTAAAAACACACATATGTAATGTCAGATTTGCTAGAAATAAAAGGCGTCTGAATTCTCCCTGCACTGAGGGAAATACTTTTCTAAAAATAAAATGTACATATTGGGAAATGTTCAAATCAATGTGCTAGTTGTTACATTCAAAATTCCATTACTGTTAATGAGATTTGCAGGCGTAACTTGCACAGCAAGTTACTCTGAAATTCTACCCAGCTGTGTCCTTGAAAGATGGATACTCTCTTTCTTTCTTCTTCTTCTTTTTATCTGAGAAATTGGTTTTCAATTTAGCCCCTTGTGTATTGATGGTATTTATTCTACACAAAATATTGGACTTAAGAGTAAAGGGGAAAACAAGACATTTGTCCACTGCATCTGTATGAGTCACAAACAACTCATCGACATGAACTTTTAGCACCTTAGCATAGTTCTGGTATGGAGCTTCTGCATAATTCATCATAAAAGGACACGAGACATGCAGAAGTCAGTGTTCATTCAGAGACATGCTACCGTATTAGCAAACAAGAAAATATGCCGTCTCTAAAAATAATTTACAGGAGGCAGCTATAAGCTTTATGGTTCATAATAGAGTTATTTTGATTCCTTTATAGCTATTTGGAGATGCTTTAAAAGTAATAAATTAGGTGAAGTGATATTTGAAAATGATAATAGAAAATATCTTAGATCTTTTATTTTAATTTTTCCACAAACTTTTAAAATCTTCAGTGTGTGGGTTTAAATGTATTTTTTTCTAGTTTGGAAACATATAATAGATTCTTATAATATTAAAAATCTGAAAGGTTATTCAACCTTTAGAGATTAACATGATTTTATCTCTTCTTCTCTTACGTATACCACACAGATCATAAGAAACATATAATTTATTTACATCATGCATGAGGCCTGCTGGCGGTATTTTATACCATCAGGTCTAGTGCCTTTGGCCATGTCTGTTAGGTACTACTTCTCCATGAGAAAGGAGAGGAAGTGCATTATCAGGATCCTCAGTAGAAATGTTTATAAAGCCACCTCTACACACATCATCACTCAAGACTGTGATTCAGTTAGCCAGGGAGTGTTATTGATTGGACTTTACTTTGTGGCTCATATTGGAATAGAGTCTTCTTTTAAGTCCCAAACCACATGAAATTTTGTCTTTTCATAAGTAATTACTAATTCTTATAAATGTTTCCATGTGGATGTGTATAAAACTACTAAACAAAACTGTCATATTTTGAAGCAATTGTTTCTCAACACATCTGTAATATAATTAGATATACTTTGAAGGGATTGCTTCATTGTCTCAATTGAACTCTCTCCACCTGCCCCCAATCCTATGCTCTGGATGTACCCACGTCAAAAAGGGCAGTTTGGGCATCCTAGAAAGATGCAAGTCATTTTTTTTTAAAGTTCTTTGAGTGGCTACACCAAGGGAAAGGAGAATAGACTTCAACATTGGTCCCAAGGCTACTGCCTAAGACAAGGAAGTCACTCTTCACCTAAGCCATTGTCATTCCTACCAAACACTCAGACTGGGTATAGTTCCTGTTTTTCTGATGAGTCTAGGTCACAGAAGCTGGGAATGAATTTGACAGAACTGTAGATTCAAATTTGAGTGATTGCTAGCATGGATAATTGTGACTGCAAAAACATGGAACTCTAACATGGGGAATAATGAATTTTGTCATCCAGCTGGGTATAAAATGAGCCATTAGAAGCGAGAATGGGGAGGGACGATATCACTAGCATACCAGGAGGAGATCAGGGAGCAGAGTGTGCCCTTTGGACTCTGATTGTTGAGCCTCCTCAACTTAAGAGACAGACCCCTCTCACACCCACCGGAGAAGCAGCAGTCAGGAAGTGGAAGCAGCAGAACCAAGAAGCAGAACATGAGACGACACTGTGGGTGAACATAGCTGTGTGTTTTTAGGAACTTTGGGAGTGGAATACCTTCAGGCCCTTAATTGAGGGAGTTATGTTTGCTGGTCCATGAAGCTAGAGCTGAGTGTCTTCCAGCTGAGACTTGTGGCTGAATGGCATGTTTTCTGAGTATTTATTGATTGTGCTAGAAGAGTTTTTTAACGCTGCCTACAAAAGATCAAGGATAATGGAATCACTTGGCTGAGTGGCCAAAGATCAGAGAGGCCTGCCTGTGGGCACAGCAAGGAAGAGCCTGTCCTAACTATAGAATTGCCCTGAGGATTTCTAACTATGATTAACAAACTTCACTAATAAATCCCATAATTATGAATGTTGGTGATTTTTTTGTGGTAAAATGGAGGAACAATGAAAAGGAGGACAATAACAAGAACAGGAGAGATATATATTGTGAAATTACTAAATAAAGGAAAAATTCCTTCTTGATTTAGTTTGGATAATGTTGTTAGGTGCCATGGAGTTGGTTCTGATTCAGTGTCACCTTTCGTACAATAGTACAAAACTCTGCCCAGTTCTGTGACGCCTTCACAGTTGTTAGGTTTCAGCTCATGGTTGCAGACACCTTGTCAGCCCATCTCTTTGAGGGTCTTCCTTTTTACCACGACAAAGTCAATAATACTTGACATCCATTACACAGGTCAGTGAACCAGGAGAGCAATAGTTAGTGCTAGAAGAAAATGAGCTACAATGAAGTAGGAAACGCCCACTGCATAAAGGAGATAGAAAGTCTTTGAGAATGAAACATTAAAGAAGCATTGATGGGAGCCTTAGAATCCCTCTTTAAGGCCCTCCGCTGATTGACAAGACCTGCTATCTCCAAAGGTAACCTTTCATGACATGACACACCAATTTATTTTCCCCACCTACTTTTACTTCTCTAGTTCACTGTTTCCTGGAACCACCACTGCTATTATGATCTTTTGAGTTGGTTTTGATTCATTGAATGCTCAAAGAATGGAGATTAACTGCCTTACAAGATTTTCTACCGTGTAATCTTCACGGGATCAAATCACAACTAATCATGCCAATTTTTCAATGTTTCTTATGCTTTTCTGTCATTCCTTTTCCACGTGAACTCTCCCCACCCTCAAATCCTAGTCGGTCAGTACTGCTTCTCTGTCAGGCCTTTCGTAGCTGCCCTTACCTCAGGAAAGGCTTTCCTGCATGTGAGTTGCATGATTCTTTAAAATCCTTCCTTTCCCACCATTCTCTTCCTCTGCCCCCTCTTCCTACTTTGCTCTCTCTCTCTCTCTCTCTCTCTCTCTCTCTCAACTTTCTCCTGCCTATTTTCCTTTTATCTTAAAAAATACACATTATACATATCTATACACTACACTGGGGTAAGTGAAAATGTATTGCTACTAGCTTTCTGGTACATGTATCCAAGGGCGTACTCCAAACCACACACTTTTAAACATGTCTCTGCAGTCCATGGAAAGCTGAAGACAAGGTCACTCGGTAATACTTTTGTCTAAGATTTATTAGTGTGACAGCAACAATCAAAGTTGTTTCCATGGGGACTTCCTGGGTCATTTAAGGCAGAAACATCAGATCAGAAGGCTATGATGGGTTTGTTTGTTTTTCTCAAAGGAGTCATCTTGATAGATTCTTCTGAAGCACAAAGGAACTCCTGGGCGAAATATGAAGTCATTTTAAATGGACTGAAAACTGTATTGGTGAGAAAAAGATCAGCAAAGTATCACCAAGGAATATTTTTTTCCAATTTGCTCATTCCACCATGAAACTATATTAGGCAAGGTTCTCCAGAGAAGCAAAACCAGGACACTTTTATATCGCTGGACCCATGAATCTTGGCTATTGAAGACACAGCACCATATATTGGTCTCTGGGTCAGATATTACAACCGCCTGAAGAATAATGCCCAACCCTGACAGGTATTGATACCTAGCTGGGACCATACGGTGGCTTTAGAAGATCATTCCATTGGTATACCAAGTCAGTTGCTGCAGGATAATGGGGAACATGGTGAAACCAGTGGATATTATAAGCATGGGCTCATTGCTATACTTCAATTTCAAATTCCTTGATCTGAGGTAATGCTATGCAGAATACTATGCTAATGGAGAAGACATCAAATGTAATGTAAGTCCACAAATGCTAGTTTTTGTAGAAGTATTATATACTGGGCAAGTAAATTCATATCCACAGTAAATCTATTTTAATAAAAACAAAACACTGTTCTTCACATCATGTAAGTTGACCTATGTAACCAACTTGCCACCAGGTTGCTGGACTGGTTCCATTTCTGGGACTCAACTCAGTGTTGGTTTTACTGCTGGATGATTGGGCATTCGGCAGTGGTGTTTCCAAATGAGGTTTGATGAATAGAAGTCCCTGTTGCTGGATCCGTGCATAATCTCCATCTCTGCCATTATGTCCACTTTGTTCATGAGCCCAGTGGACTAGAAAATTGTCGTTGGGTATATAGATGACTGATTACCACAGAACATGTCAGCCTATTCACTTGATTGTTTAAATCTTCCACTGCAGAAGTAACTCTTTGGTGAGCATTCACATGAGATATAAATATCTTCATTTCCTTGGCCCAGTCACAGAGTTCTAGCCAGGTAAATCCTCCATACACCTCCTTGTCGCAGATTTTACAAACACAGTCCTTCCAAGTCCCTGACCATCCAGACAAACCACTGGCCACTTCCAAAGGAGTCAGTGTACATTCTCACATGTGGTCATTTATCCTTCCAAGGAAGATGAACAGACAGGTGTACTGATCTAAGTTCTGTCCTTTAGGAAAATGTCCCTTCTTCACTGCCCTTTGGGGAGGTCCAAGGAAGAGGCAGAAGTCCTTTGCTGTCCACTTTTGTGCGGTACCTGCATATCATACAGAACCATCTGTAAACCAAGCTTGAGTTTTCTCTTCCTCAATCACCTGATTGATCATAAGGATCTCCCCATGAGGCCATAGGTGCAGACTGGGGTAAAAATGCTACTGTGACAGGAATGAAGACCATAGGCTCTGGGCCACTTCTTCATGCAGCATACTTGGGTCTTCAGGTGCTGCTCTAGTCTAGTCATATGCCATAGCCCCACCAAAACCTACTGGATTTTTTCCAAAGCTATGTATTGAGTTTTATTTTTTAGTTTTTGGCAAAACAATCCTTTTACTCTCCCCATTACACTTCATACACTTGTCAAATCTGTGATTCAATTTTTGGAAACTATTCTATTTTTGAAATTCATCTCTTTGGATGGCTAGCAGCACCTCCCTCATTTTTTTCTTCACCTCTTCTATGTTATCAAAATGCTGTCCTTTTGTGTCCTTCTGCATTCACGAAAACAAAAAGAAGTTGCACAGAGTGAGGTCAAGTAAGTAAGGTGTGTGGGGCATGACAGACATGCTGCTTCTTGCCAAAAACTGGCACACTGAGATGACTGCATAAGCAGGTGCAATGTCATGGTGGCAACATCAGTCTCCCATCTGGCACAAATCAGGCCTTTTTTTGTCACACACTGTTATGCAATTTTCTCAGAATCTCTAAATAGAAAGCTTAGTTAACAGTCTGTCCTGGTGGAATGAACACCAAATGCATTATCTCCCACACATTAAAAAAAAACAAACAAATGAGCATCATCTTGATTTTTTATTTCACTTGACGAACTTTTGGGGGGCGAGGTGACGATGCCGTCTTCCACTGTCTTGATGATTGATGTTTGACTACAGGGTCATAAGAATAGCACCATATCTCCTCACCAGTAATGATATTGGGGGGACGGGGGAAAGTGTGGTTCACTTCAGAGCTGTTCTTTCAAAGCACAGCATGCTTCCAGTCGACAATCTTTTAGCTGGTCAGTCAGAACCCGAGGCACAAATTTCACAGCGACCCTTCTCATTTCCCAATCTTCCTTTAAAATTCACTGAACCAAGCTCCAAATAGTCCAGATAACTTCAATAGTCCCCATCTCTTCAAGAGTCTGTTGTCAGTCTTTGAACACCGATACACACATTTTGTCAACAATTTTGTCCATTTGGAAAGTTGACAGATGTCAAGAAGGAGGTTTGTCATCAATCGACATTTCACCTTTGTGGAAATGAGAAAAACACTTGTACACCTGAGGTTTTCCATAGAGCTGTCTTCGTAAGCTGTGTTCAACATCACAACAGTTTCTGCAGCGCTTTTCTTGAACATGAAACAAAATTTCACAGACTCATGCTATTCTCTTCAATCAGCCATCACAAAAAAAATTAGATTCGAGTGAAACTGCTTTTACGAAAAAAATTTGCTGTGACCACAGAGAGCCTTCCCAGGGAATGCCACTCGGTGCACTAACTCAGAGCAAGCTGTTTGATGCTCATCTCATGAGAAAAATGCACACTATGAAAGCTCAGCCCAATGGTGTTTTTTCCCATTTGTTTTTGGGGGTACCCTTGTATATTAATTCCATTTAAGGATGGATACTGCTTACTGTGCATATCAAACTTCATGACGATATGTGTCAGGCAACACTCAATTTATAATGAACAGCCAGCCTGTATGGTAACTTGGTGGCCTACAGTGGGAACGTCTATCACTCTAATGCCCAGTAACAGGCCAAAAACTGTTTGTCAAGCAGAGAGTAGCTGTTTGCAGAGGGTGACAATGATTTGTTCCAAGTTCCTAATGGTCTGTGCATGGATTAACCAATAGAAGCCTGCTGAAGTCTCCAAACTGCATCTCAATCTATACTGCATCTCAATCTACCATTGAAACTTCAAGGTCAGCTCAGTCATAGGACCCAAGTGATAGAGTGGCTTGCACGCCAGCTTGAATCTGTTGCAACCTGTTTGTTCTGGGTCCCACTTAAAGCTAGAAGCTTTTTAAGTTACTTGATAAATAGGCAAAGTGGCACATTCAAATGAGGATATGTTCTCTCCAAAATACAAAGAGGCTCACCAGGTGATATTTCTCCTTGTCAGTTGTTGGAGGGCCAGGTGCAATAGTTATTCT